ACGCACAAGCCACAGGTGGGGGTGTGCTCAGCAAGCAGGGGAACCCAGAGCCTCTCAGAACCTCTGGAGTGAAGGCAGACAAAGAACATTCATAGCCACTTCTTTGCCTTCCGGGCCTGAGGGAAAGGGCATCGGGAAGCCAGAACAGCCTGGCCTGTGTGGCCTCAGGGCTGGGACAGAGCTGCCTTTCTGTGAACTGCTCAGGATGGAGGGAAGCCCCGAGGCAGGAGGAGGGAGGAGACCAGGAACTTTCCAGGAACCTGGTCACAGGCTGTGAGAAGTGGCTGCCCTGTTCCCAGAGCAACAGGGCTCAGAGCCACATGCCCTCCAGGTGTGTGACCCACTCAGAGGTGAGGGAGGCAGGACAAAGGTCACAGCAAAAGTGAGATAGAAATGCTCACTTTTTAGCATCACAGATATTGCCACTGCACATCAGGCACTAAGAGGCCAATGTGTGTTAGGGACAATGGCCATGGTGGTAATGGTGGTGATGATGGTGATAGTGATGGTGGTGATGGTGATGGTGATGGTGGTGATGATGATAGTGATGGTGATGGTGATGGTGATGATGGTGGTGGTAATGGTGGTGATGGTGGTGGTGGTGGTGATAGTGATGGTGGTGGTGGTGATGGTGATAGTGATGGTGATGGTGATGATGGTGGTGGTAATGGTGGTGATGGTGGTGGTGGTGGTGATAGTGATGGTGGTGGTGGTGATGGTGATAGTGATGGTGATGGTGATGATGGTGGTGGTAATGGTGGTGATGGTGGTGGTGGTGGTGATAGTGATGGTGGTGGTGGTGATGGTGATAGTGATGGTGATGGTGATGATGGTGGTGGTAATGGTGGTGATGGTGGTGGTGGTGGTGATAGTGATGGTGGTGGTGGTGATGGTGATAGTGATGGTGATGGTGATGGTGATGATGGTGGTGGTGATGGTGATAGTGGTGATGATGGTGGTGATAATGGTGGAAATTGAAGAAATAACAGGGAAAAGAGCTGGACATTGCAAATAGATTTATGCCTCTTCCCTGGGCTTCTTCCATCAGTCCCTCCTCTGTCCTTCTGTTTATTTCTCACTTGTTCTACAGCAGGTGCTTGGCTGGACACTCCTGCCCTCCAAGTAGTGGCCTAGTGCCATGGTGCCAAGCTCCTCAGGGGAGAAGCCTTCTCACTGGCTGTCAGGAAGGCCCCTGGAGGCCGAGGCAGGGCTGAGGGGGTGCAGGGAACAGCACAGGCAACATGTAGAAATGGGCAAGGCTGCTGAAGGGGTTAGTGACACCAGAGCTGCAGGGTGGGGGGAGGAGGGCAGGGCTGAAGTCACCAGGAGGTTTCTGACAGTCCTGGCTGGGGCGGAGGGATGAAGGAGTAAGAGTGGGGAGGCCCGGCCCCAGAGCCCCGGTTGGACCGGTATGAGCCGCATGCGCCCTTCCACCGGAAGGTTTTCTCAGTCAAGCCCTTTCTGTTTTGTCCCCTTTTTTCTAGGCAAACGAGAGAGCAGGAGACACCCCCTGACTTTTTTTATTTCTCTGACTACGAGAGGCACAATGCGGAGATCGCTGCCTTCCACCTGGACAGGTGAGCTGACCCACCTGTGGCTCCCACAGATGCCAGGCTGCGGGGTCTGAGCTTGAGCTGGTCCCTTCAACTCTTGCCCCTCCCTGCGATGGGGCCTGTGGCTACCCCGTGCACAGAGCGGAACACGGGCGCTGTGAGCATCCGATTTGCTCATGCTCAGAGCCACTCCTCTCCCAAGAGAGAGCTACTCCCTGACCTCAGGTCACAGCCCAGATGGACGTGCCCTGCTTCCCACACCTAGAACAGCGGCTGCAAGACCTGCGGGCGGGGGGGGGGGGGGG